ATCATCTTCAATTTGATCCAAGATTCCTAATGTTTTAAGTATAAGACTGCATGAAGCAGGAAACATTCTAATATACTATATTGATTGCTTTAAGTTATCAAAAGACAAAGATTCCTAAAAAGAAATTTAAATACTATATCCAGAGAATCTCTCTGTTAATATCATTGCTCAAGGTAGATCCTAACAGGTCATGAGATGACTAACTCAGAATGGCAAGGAAGTAATATGCTTTGTGCATTTAAATCCTCAACAGTTCAGGAATGAAAAAGGTGGAGATTGTAGGAATAAGGAAGTGCTCTGTATTCATCCTTTCTTAGTGATTCTTTATTCATGTCACTCTTGTACTATGCGTCACTATTTCTTTCTACATTGATATGAAAAAATGCCTATTTAACCAACAGTATTCTATATAATATAAGCGTAATATGCTAAATGTCTGACCAATTGGTCGACGGTTCAGTCGACCGTTCAACCAGTCACTATGACGCACACTGACCACCAGGGGGCGAATGCTCAAATTGGTAGGTTAGCTTGTTGCTGGGGTCCAGTGGATTGGGACTGGGCGAAAGGGCCAGATAAGTCCTGGAGTGCTCTTGTGGTCCTTCCCCAACCAGTGGCCCCCGACCTCCATCGGCCCCGATCAGGGTCAACTGGCCAACCTCCCACAGTCCCTCCCTTGCTGGCCGACCCCCATCAGCCAGAATCGGGACTGAGTGAGACGGCCCCAAATGGCCCTGATCACCAGCCAGGCCGAGGACCCCACCCATGCATGAATTCACACACTGGGCCTCTAGTTTTAAATATTCTCCTTCCTTTTGAGAATGGCTTGTTTGGAAAATACCATTGCTTAGAAGTTGAGCTTGGCTTCTTACCTACATCACTTGAATTAGTATCAAACTGAGTGGTCTTTTGGAAGTTTTGAGAAATCCGTAAGGTAGCTTGTTCAACAGCATGCATCAGCTTTGTAAGATAAGTTATTCTATGAGTCGCAGGTAACTTGTCCCAGACTATAAATGTATCCGTTTGAACAAAATTATTGACAGTTTTCACCAATTCCTGTTGAAAAATGTGTATCTTTTAAAAATGTTGGATTTTTTCATTAATCATAGATATAAGGGGAATTTTGAAGCTCAATAATATTGAGTTAAAGTTCAGCATACTTACAGCAAGAGTTGAATTAGAAAGGCCGCCCTTGTCTGAGTTAGTGCTATTCATGTAAGCAAGGAATGGTGATGATTCTGCTAATACTTCTATATAGGTAGTTATATCCATTGGTGAAAGATGTTTCACAGAATTCCTAGAGACATCTTGTAGTAAAGCCACAAGTTGGCCTATGTTTCTAATCTGAACAAAAATAAGTTCCAAAAAATGAAACCAGATTAGAGTACTATTGGATCTTTTCAATAATAAAAGTTACATGTTAAATTTATTCTGAATTTGGTTTGCTTGTCCTATATATTAATAAGTTACCAGACTAAATCCAAATTATAACATGCAGCACTTCAACACAAAATTATTTAGAAAAGCTTTCCAATTACTTAAAAAACATAAAAATTACTTCAGAAAAGGAACAGCATGTTTGAATTGGTAATTTTTTAAATCAGCTTTTTAAAGTTATAATGCTTATAAACTTAATTTGAATTAGATTGTAATCAACCACAGAAAATTCTTTACAACGTGATAAAATGGAAATTGCTTTAGCTGATTGTTAATTAGTCTTGTTGAGACTCACACTTTCAATCACATGATAAAAATTTTATAGATGCCCTACTTTTTGAAATATTTGCTAAAGAGATCAAAATTTAGATTCATTCATTTATAACTCCTGAGAATGTGGGAATGGGCCTGACATCAAAGTATGTTTTTTTCTATTTTGTTTATCAACTTCTTTACATATTGAAAAGAATTTTTGACTATATTGAAATGTGAAAAGTGGCATAAGCTAAATATGTGAAAATCTTCTTCAAAACTGGTGATTTTCAAATTAATCCTACCTGTGACTCAAAATTCTTACATCTCTATATGTAAATAGTTTCAACTCTTCATGAAAATCAATTGCTTGTTACACTTTTTACAATGTGACACTGAAAACATTTTAACTAAAATCAAAATATAAAAATAAAATTTTAATTCAATTAGTCTACTTACTTTTGTTAAAATTTTATCAACATTTGCAGCAATACAGGCATTATCTAAATAGCAGTCTGCATTCACATTTTCTGTAGAAGAAAATGGATCATATAGTAAGTTTTAAAATATTTTTCCTAAGATGATTATATCGATTACAATAATTTTGCTTACTTATTTAAACATTAAAAACACATTCATAACCCGTGTCATTTTCAATTTTCATTCATTAAAATTCAATTATTTTTCATTATTCATTAATTTAAAAATTATTCATTTTTATTCATAAATACACACTATTTTATGGAAAATGGAAGATTTTAGTCACCCTAAGGAATATGATGTATTTATATCAAACATGTGGTCTACATCTTCTATAAAGAAAATTATATATATATATATAAAATTTCACTTTATAAGCAAGTAAAGAATACTGGAACATTTGTTGGAGGGTATAGCTCTTTGACAATTTACAACTGTGTAGTACATATTTTACATAGTTATTTGATAATTTACCTTGGCAGTAAGTGCCATCATTAGGTGTGAACTGTACTTTTCCTGTGGATGTCTGATAACCTTCCTTGCAAGAGCAGTTATACCCACCATCCACATTTTCACATACTGCATGATCACCACAGGCAACTGATTCATTGCATTCGTCTATATCTGGAAATATTTGAAAAAAATACACAACTTTTTAATTTAGTACTCATATAGATGCTACATTGCTGATATTATGTCTAGTTAGTCATAGCAAATTTTATAAAAATGACAAAGCTACCTTAACCTCATATATTTGTTTAACCTTGATTTAGCCAATGTATTTTGACAGTGTACTGAAAATGTTATTCATGGGCCAAACTCTTGAACTGTTTTCTGAATGGCATGATTCATCAACAAAGTCATTAATTTCATCATTGACTATGTAATATTTAGTCCTAATTTAATAAAAACCCAATTTTTAAAATACTTTGCTTTCTAATATTAAACTTAATTAATTATAACAACTCAGCTTAAATAACCCTGGAGGATAAAAAAGAATAGCCCATTTTCTTTCTAAGGCTCCATTTTTGCATGCAAATTACCCTAAAAATTAAGATGTAGCAAATGTGTGATTCAACTCCCTTAAAATTTTACCGCAAATGTTATTTTTGTTCAGGTTATATTATATTATGATTCTTAATACATACCCAATGTAGATAAAGTAACAAATTGTACAGAAGTAAGTCTTTGATTTTTCAGTAGCTATATATCAAAGCCACAAGAAAAATGATAGGTTTTAAGCTCACATAATTTATATTCCTAATTTTAAAAATTTTACATACTACAGTGAAATAAGTCTTAAAGTAATAAATACAGTATAAATGCTCTGCCAGTAGGCAGAGTTCCAATAGAGAATGATTCCAAGGAACTGAAGTCCAGATTGTTACCTTAAACTAACGCAAAGAACGCAAAGATTTTTTTGTGTTTCCAGCCTAGCTCTGACATCTTAGAACTACTCTATATTAGATTGATGAATAAATCTGTACTCTTAAGTATACAATTTTATTAAATAAAACTAATAGAGTGGCATAATACTGTTTGTCATAAAAAAGGAAAGTAATTGAAGTTCATTAAAATGTCATTTAATTAGTTATCTTAAATGTAGCTGATACTAATTTTTCACTTTAAAAATGCAATAAAGCTACAAAAAAACATTAAAACTCACACCACACAAAACTGAAACTAATAATAGATGTCTTGTCAGTTTCTCGAAGAAAACTGTATTAGCTATAAAAGTGATAGTACTAGATTTAAGAAGACAATTAACAGGCTCGAAAAAAGGTAGAAAATGCCATGTTCTTCTGCCAAGTCTGTGCATTCATGATCTGTACTATCCAGAAATCCAAGTACATTACTTTTAAAGAAACAGGGCTGCTCCAGCATCCTCACCCTCTTCCTCTTATTTCTATATATGTGTCCATAAACTGCCACTCAAAAAAAGGAGGGTTGGGGAGACAAACTAAAGTGGAGGGGAGTAAGAGCAGGTTGACTCTTGGAATATGTAGAACCATCAGGGAGAGTATTCCAGGTTGAGCTGAAGAGAAGGACTCAGGTAGGAGCACATACTAGGGTTATTATTTTTTCATGATATCAACGAAGTGATTAAAAAAGTTTGAGAAAACGAAAGACTAGTCCTTTTTGGAACAGTGCTGAAGAAGTAGCATTAACTGTAATCAAGTGGGGAAAACACTCCAAAGTAAGTGTGGACACACCCATGAAGTACCATGAACAGAACAGTTTCTTCCATGGATAAGAAAAGCTATGTTTTGTTTTGTTTATAAGATTTTTTAGAAATTGAGTTTTAGAGAGAAAGCAAGGGAGAGGGAGAGGGAGATAGAAACATCAATGAGAAAGGTCCATAGACCAGCTGCCTCCTGTGTGCCCCATACTGGGGATCAACCCCAAAACTAGGGCATGTGCCCTGACGGGGAGTTGAACAAAGACCTCTAGGTGCATGGGATGACACTCAACCAACTGAGCCACACAGACCAGGCAGAAAGCTATGTTTTTGATTACCCATGTTTCATACTTTTAGATGCCTTTTATGGATTAACAGAAAACATGGTGTTGATTCTCTCAATTTCAAAATTATTTAAAGGTGCAACATACCTTGGGAACTTCATCCCACACACAATCTGTGAACAACATACAAATCTTGGCTGTACAAACTCAACTTTTATCTGCCCTCTTGTACTTTGGGCACAGTTGTACACAATCCTGCTCATAACTGATTGTGCTTCAGCTCTCTCCTGTGCATCCTCCTCAGCCTGGGGTGCTTATGGTGGTGCTCTTCTCTACTTCAAACCCCCTCACCACCACATGGAATCAGCTACGTGGTATCTCAGAATGTCAACCTTTGACCAAAGAAGGTATTTCAACTTCTGAATTCACCAGTTCACAAAATGGTAGTCTGTAAAAATCATGAGGTAGTATCCTGGGAGACTAGTATTCAAAATGAGGAGTATGCAAATGTTTGTATTCTGACTAGAGGCCCAATGCACGAAATTCATGCAAGAGTAGAATTTCCTTCCCCTGGCTACCGGCACCGGCTTTCCGCAAGCATCTGGGACCAGGGCTTGCTTCCCTCCAGCCCCGGCTTTGTCTAGAACAGTGGTTCTCAATCTTCCTAATGCCACAACCCTTTAATACAGTTCCTCATGTTGTGGCGACCCCCAACCATAAAATTATTTTTGTTGCTACTTCATAACTGTAATTTTGCTACTGTTATGAATCGTAATGTAAATATTTGATATGCAGGATGTATTTTCATTATTACAAATTGAACATAATTAAAACATAGTGACTAATCACAAAAACAATATGTAATTATATATGTGTTTTCTGATGGC